TGAGCTTTTTCAAAATAAGAGAGATATCGTGAACGTACAAAATGAAAAGAAGAGGTTCGAAGTGCGAGCCCTGAGGAACTCTTGACAGGACTTGAAATGAATTAGATTTTTTTCTCGCAGTATCTTACAATTTTCTGACGGTCCGTTCCCAAGTATCACTTGCAACATCGTTCTTGACAAATAAAACAAATCCCAGTTGTGAATAAGTTCTATATTAATTGCTTGCAAAACGTCTTGTTGTATTGTTTTTGTGAAGTATTCAACTTTTCTGACATGCTGTTTATCTTGAAGTTATAATTCGGTATTGAATGTCTCAATTATCGGTTTACAACATATTTATAAAAAAAAACTTGGTGAAAACTTGCTAGCCTTATAAACAACATCTTTTCGTATGTCAGTTTTAGAAACGTGAGCAAATATGAATACATCTTAAATATAACTTATTTAAAATATGAAAGTAATAACATGTGGTACACATGACTAGCAAATTTTCATCAAATACCATCAGTTATAAATGTGTTATAAACAGGTAATTAAGAGTTGCAATACCGAATTATAACTTCATTATATGATACAAGTAATGTTCTTGTTTTTCGAATACATTTTATTCATGTTTTATCATCCCAAGTATGGTGTGTAGAAGAGAAACGTAAGATAACTAAAAATAAGTTGACATTCTATTTTTTCCCAAAAAAAAAAGATGTTTGCAAAAATTGGGAATTTTATCAAGAATATGGTGTACAATTCTATTAACAGTATCAAGCTTTTTCTAAAGAGCCCATGAGTTTTTTGAAAGTAGAATGTAAAGATTCTCCAAAAAATTGCATCTGCATTGGAAGTATGAGATCTCATTTTATGCCCTTTTTTCACACAATTAAATACCCCAGAATAATAACTTTTGTTAATTGATGATGGAAACATAAAAAAAATCCATTCGTTGCAAGGATGAAATTTATTTACAACATGCCCAAATTAGTAGGTTGCGTTATAATTATAATTAAGTTGCGCTAGCCAATTATATTTACCATAACATATGTGTTTTATATAGACATCACCTCTTGCGCTTTTATCGTGTGACTAGACTAAGTAAAAAATCTTGAAAGCGATTCTGCTGATTTTTACTTGATTTATTTGGTTTAGTCCTAAGAAAACAATTTTTTTTAAATAAACTGCAATGTCTCATTTACACCAATGACTGCGAGCAGAATGCTCTGATTTTCTGAATCAGAAATGAATGAAATCAGCATGCGCTGATTGAAAATGCCATAGATATGAATTTTAATTTCAGGAGGAAATTAAGATACTATTTATTCGGCTATTTGGAAGAATATTTCAATAGAAATATTACAATCATAATCTGTGGCGAATCTAAAAGTTTCACCTGCTATATTTGTTTTCACCCACACACACTCAAATTCTTTAGATTAAGATTGGATAATGGCTTCCTAATTATTATTTTTATGAAATTGCGATGCACTATTCATGTGATTGAAATTCTTACAATAAACCAGAATTACAATAAAAAGTGTTTCGGAGAAAAAAAATTCTGATCAGCCGTAAGGCTTCTATATAATTTCTGATGATTCGAAAGAATTTTATATGATGTGAGAATTTGGAATAATTCCTGATCATTCTTATATGGTGGGATACTATTCAAACGATGTAGATTCAATTTTTGGTCATTTGAAGGTCTCGACATTATTCCTGAGATCCTTATATTTTGAAATACATTCCAACTGAAAAGATCTTCAGATGAATTTATGATCAATTAAACATGATAAGAAAATATACGGAGAACTCGATACCAATTTCTGATCAGCCGTAAAGCTTCCAACTAACTTCTGATAATTCGGAAGAATTTTGAAATATTTCCTGACTATCGTTGTATTTTGAAATACATTCTAACTGCCCGAAGATCTTCAGAAGAATTTCTGATCAATTTGATATGGTGATGGAATATATGGAGAACTCAATTTCAATTTCCCGTCAGTCGTAGGTCTTCGATGTAATTTCTTATAATTCGGGAGAATTCCTGATCAATTTATGTGATGATGGAATATATGGAGAACTCGATTTCAATTTCCAATCAGTGGCAATTTCTGATAATTCGTAAACAATTCTGATCAATATGATATGATGAGGGAATTAATGGAGAATGCGATTTCAATTTCCAATCAGTCGTAGGGATTCCATATAACCTCTGATAATTTGAAAGAATTTCAAAATAATTTCTAACCATCCTTGTATTTTTAAAATCAGTCTAACTTCCCGAATGTCTTCAGAAGGATTTCTGATCAATTTGATATATTGATGGAATATATGGAGAACTCAATTTCAATTTCCAATTAGTCATACGTGTTAGGTATAATTTCTGATAATTCGCAAGAATTTCTGATCAATTTGATGTGATGAATGTACGGAGAATTGATTTCAATTTCCGATCAGTCGTAGATTTTCGATTTAATTTCTGATAATTCGGAAGAATTCCTGATCACTTTGATATGATGAGGAAATATTCAAAGACCTCGAATTCAATTTCCGATCAGTAATTGGTCTTTTTTATAATTTCTGCTGATTCGGAAGAATTCCTTATAAATCTGATATTATGAGGGAATATCTGGGGAACTCAATTTTAATTTCCAATTAGCCGTATGTTTTCGATATAATTTCTGATAATTCGGAAGTATAGCCGATCAACCTGATATGATAAAGATATACCTATATGGAAAAATCGATGACAATTCTTCTATAAGTCGAAGGCCCTGAATATGATTTCTGATAATTCGGAAGAATTCATTATCACTTTGCTAGGGTGTATATGGATCATTCGATTTCAATTTCCGATCAGTCGTAGGTCTTCGATATAATTTCTGATAATTCGGAAGATGTCCTGATAAAACTCGATTTCAATTTCCCACCATTCGTAGGTATTCGATACAATTTTTGGTCACACGAAAGAATTCCTGATCAATTTGATATGGACAACTCGATTTTAATTTCTGATCAGGAAGTTTTTTTTTTATAATTTCTGATAATTCGAAAGAATTCCTGATCAACCTGATTTGATTGAGATATATATGGAAACTTTGTTGCAATTGTTCTATTAGTCGAAGACCTTCAATATAATTTCTGATAATCCGGAAGAATTTCTGAACACTTTGATATGGTACATAGGGTACACATTATGGTGAAATCGATTTCAATTTCCAATCAGTCATAGGGTTTCCATATAACTTCTGATAATTCGGTGAAATTTCGAAATAATTCCTGATCATCCTTGTATTTTGAAATACATTCGAACTGCCCGAAGTTCTTCAGAAGGATTTCTGATTAATTTGATATGTTGATGGAATATATGGAGAACTCAATTTCAATTTCCAATTAGTCATACGTGTTCGATATTAATTCTGATAATTTGCAAGAAATCCTGATCAATTTGATGTGATGAGGGAACATATGGAGAACTCGATTTCATTTTCCGATATAATTTCTTATTATTCGGAATAATTCCTGATAATTCCAATATGATATGATCAAGGAATTAATGGAGAATTTGATTTCAATTTGCAATCAATCGAAGGGTTTCCATATAACTTCTGATAGTTTGGAAGAATTTTTGACCATCCTTGTATTTTGAAATATATTCTAACTGCCCGAATGTCTACAGAAGGATTTATGATCAATTTGATGTGTTGGTGGAATATATGGAGAACTCATTTTCAATTTCCGATTAGTCATACGTTTTATATATAATTTCTGATTATTCGGAAGAATTAATGATCAATTTGATGTGATGAGGGAATATGCAGGATTCGATTTCAATTCCCGATAAGTCGTAGGTCTTCGATAGATAAGATAAGATTTTGAAGAACTCCTGTTCAGTTTGATATGATGAAAGAATATATGGAGATCTCAATTTCAATTTCGGATCCGTCTTAGGTCTTCGTTATAATTTTTGACATTCGGAAGAATTCCTGATCAATTTGATATGATGAGCGAACTAGCGAAAAAGGACTCGTGGACCTACGAACAAGAAAATGTGGCAACGTGGTAAAACAAATGCGTAATTGCTGATTGCTTCTTTACTATGTCCGTGACGAATTTACAGCGAGAATGTTTGGCGCATGGTTTGGAAATTGAAAAACCATGCTACAAATTTTCGAAAATCATATGTTTATGTATACCATCATGTTGTGCATAGTCTGCAGAATGTCCTGGTATAAAAATATGATATACTTTCTTGGGAAATTCCCGGGAAAACATAGGCGCAAGATTGCATTTCCTTGCGCGCACATATACACTCACGTGCATATTCTCTTTGGGTGGAAATGCCACTTTCCCGGAAAAAGCACACCACTTGAAGTTGAATGCACTTTTCCACCCAAATTTTACCCCACTAGGAAAACAAAATCCTCGGCTACAATCGGACGGAATTTGTTTCCCGATATTCGCTTTCCTTCACAGGATTTTCGGGACGTTTCCTGGAAAACCACCCAAATCACAGACAAACGGCTCAAAATGTCCGAACGATGGCCTTAAACACACTTTAATGTAAATGTTTTTGAGTATAATTTCTCATTGTTAATACACAGTTAAAAAAAAGTAGTGTAAATTTCCGTTACTATGATGCACATAAATGGAGCGTCATATATCATACAAGTTTAGGTTATAGATGGTGAAAATTTATGAGACATGTCATGTTATATTCCATATATTGTATGCAACTGTCCACTTTTGTTTGCAACATTTCTTGCAAGCTGCTAGTTTACGTGAAAAGGAAGATTACATGTATGAATGTTTGCATGCATGGATGTTTACATCGTCAGTAAAATTCAGAATTTTTTGGTGTGTAAATAACACATCGTTTGCCATAATTTATTTCTCTACATATTTTACTGTCGAACTGAAACACCGTAAACCAACAAATTATCGAATCCAACCGAGTTAATTAGATTTAAGTGGGACATCATCCAGACCAGCCGTTGAATCTGAATCTTTACCGTTTTGCAACATCCTTCGAAAAACACTTTCGTTGACGAGTACAGTTTGCCCACCGACCTTGCTTGCCTTCCAGAAATCGTTGAACCTCAACATTTTTCTGACGGAGAAACTGGCTAAAGCAAGCGTCGTTGGCCTCCACAGTGTGTGCAATATCAGCAGCACATACAATGCGTTGTATGAATGCAACGAATCCTGGAAAAGTTTCCTTGAAGCTTCTGTTATCCGCTGTAGATTCTGGCCCAGGAACCTTTCTTGAAAACCCTTTCCATGAGAATGGTAGAAGAATAGTTGGCACAAGCATTCTTCTCATGATAGTTTTGAAGAACGGAGATCCTTCGCGCTTCCCGTTCAAACTGTATTCGGTATGGAAGAAACGGTATAACTTGTCAGTGTACATCCTATCATTCAAGTTCTTTTCCAACAATTTCAATCTGTTCTCATCTTGAACTGGACAAAGATCAGCAAATTCCAAAAAGCATTCTTGGTTTCCCTTTTTCTCAGGTGCTGTTGATCCGGATTTTTTCGTTGACATTAATTTATCGATGTTCGCCATAAACAGAACTAATTTCTCCAATTTGGTTTCGATCCCATCAAGTCTAATTTTGATTAACTCGAGTTCGCCATTGAGATGACCTTCGACTTCTGGTGATGGATTAGTCTGCTGATTTTCGACCTAAGAAACATCCGCAACAGCTGCTGCATTGTCACCGACCAATTCAGCGTAGCAGTCATATCCTAGTTCTATGTAACGTCGTCCGTCCATATCCTGAACTTCCTTCATCGTTTTGCTTACCTATTTAAATGATAACCAATAGTGGTATTAGTATATAATATAATATAATATAATAGTTATTATACTGAAAACCGTAAAACAAATGCAATGTACCTTTATCAACCGATAAAGATTAAATTTTATATTTAGGTTACTAAGTGAATTTACACTATTATAATTAGCGAATTCGTTAATTATTCAGATCCAACCTGGATCGGGTATCAAGATTGGGTCTGCTTGTTTTCTGACAAACTCCTTTGGTTTTTAAAACCTAGCTCAGGTTGAGGTTCGCACTGACAAAAAGTTCGGTCACTCCCAACACAGTTTACCCATTTTTTTGTAGGTTCAGTTTTGGCCGATCTGGGGGGATTCTACCCAAATTTGGGATGTTTTGAAATAGCGTGTGGAAAGGAGATAAAGACAATGTCTTTATATAAGGTCCGGGCCAACAGGCAGCTTGTCGGTGTTGGAAGCAAAAATGTTGTAACACTGAAGTTACGACGTCACTCTACCATAACATTCCATACTGCGAACAGTGAGATTTACGTCACTGCCACAGCTGTTTCGTGTAAAAAGATAAACATTGCAATGCAATACGAACACCACTAAACATTTGCATATTTAAATAACACCAATAAGCCTGCTGGCCCGGACCTTACATAAAGGACGTTGAGATAAAGACACCAAAGATATATTAATGTAATAGATGTACGGATGTTGGATTTGGATTACCGAGATGAAGCAATCGGTTAAGCTGTGTGAGTGAAACCACTGTACGATACAAGCAATTAGTGACGTCATTAATTGCGTTTACGTTGATTTTTTGGATAACTAACAACATTTCACGATCTTCTACTTCACCTCTCTCTATATATTGAGCTAACATCTCCAAGCGCAATGAGATGTATACAGGTGAAAAATGATCGCAAAATGGTATTCGTGTAGTGCAAAATATGTTAGAGGTTTGTGATGTATACCTTTCGTGACGTCAAACTCCACTTTTTTCATGCATATTTTTTATTAGTTTTACGTCATCACCGATTGTTTACCTCTTTTTTGCTACTAATACCAACAAATACCGTCTTGTGCAATACCTGTATAGATCATTGCTCCAAGCGGACTGTCAAAAATCGTATACACCAATGTAACAAATGTAAACAAATCGAGTTAAGCGATACAAACTATTGCTCTTCTATCATTGTATGTGATACAAAAACATCAATCAAATTTACTTTCATTTATTTAAAATAATCATTGATAAAAAATTGTCCAATGTACAGTTTGAAATGATGGGTACATGATTGTTACTTCGGTCATTCGGACTGCCTAAAATGATTGGTGTTCATTTTCCAAAGGTGGGGCCAATCTAAAGTTAGGTACTATACTCTGAAATCTGTGAAAGGAAATCTAGTATCATGTAGACAAAACGTCCAATGTAACACTGATTGATTATGTCATTGAGAAAAATCGTCCAATGTAACATGTCCGATGTACAACTCGACTTGTCAAAATGTCCTATGTGGTTTTTTCTATGTTGTAGCATGAAATTCAAAGTAAAATTGTGATTTTACCGTTTTTTTCTGAATTTTCAACGTTATTATACACTGACTACATTAAAAATAATATTGCAAAATGTATTTTTTTCAAACAGGTAAAATAATAATCTGTCGAACTTCAACTTCGATTTTCACAAAATGGTGGATATGTTACATTGGTCTATTTGAAAAGTGACGCGAGAAATGCATCAAATGCATGAGAAGCAAGAGCAATTTAATGGATCAACAATAGAAAAGAGCCCATCAGCATTTATAAATAAACCGCTCTCAAGCCCTTTCCTCACAAAGCACTGGCTGGCCACAAAAACTAACAACATCATCGTATAGGAGAAACTTTCCCCTACCCTATGATTCTGTTGGTTTGGGCGGCCTTCGATTTATAAGGAAGGGCTTTAGAAAGGCTTGTTTACAAGTTTTACAAATGCTGATGGGCCATTCTCTATTGTTGCTCCAGAATTTCATCAAATTCTTCACAGAAATTTTGGATTATCTACCGGTGATTATTGTGATTGAACGTGAAAGAACTCAAGTAAAGTTTGTTGTTTCGTTCGATTAATTACATTAAGTGGATTCCCAGGAAATGAACTAGGATCGATTGTGTTTGTCTATTTATATAGTGGAATAAATGAGACAGCTATTATTATATGTGAATATCTTGCCTCGTTATGCTCTGCAGGTGCTGTTGTATGGTTGAAAGTTGAAGGTTCACGAACCTGGATCGGTGGAATTGCCGATAATATCGTTTTTTTTTTTCAGTTTCATCGTTTGATTTGTGGATAAAACTGCTGCACTGTCTTCTACAAGCAGCTACACGCAGGACGATTCAGGAGTATCATCATTCGGTGAATACTGGCTTGCCTCGTTATGCTCTGCAGGTGCTGTATGGTTCGAATCAGATGTTTGAAGAGCATGGAGCGAAGGAGTTGCCAACACTACCAGTTCTTCCAGTTCCTCCGCTTGGTTTGTTGTTAATTCCGGACAAACTGTATTCTCTGCTGCATTACCTTCTACAAGCAGTTCCGCGCAGTACGATTTGGGAGTTGCGGGAGTTTCAGTATTCTCATTGGGTAAATATAGACTTGGCATCGATGGTGGTGGCATGGACATTGTTTCCTAAATGTTTAAAAGTTGTAGTGTCATCATCTCAATATTTTTTTTTATTTTAACTTACTTTAGCCTTCTTTATGGGAGGCTCCAGGGTGTATGATTTGGACTCAAATTTAGCCTTTTTTTTTAGGGCGAGCTCGCGTTCCCTGAGCCATATTTATAGCATCTTCTGAATCCGTTACCATTTCCAGTCGATTGATCTCATCCTCTGCTAGCTTATTTGTTTTTGTTTGCCCAACTATTTTACAGGCCTGTTTGGTCCAGACACAGAAATCCGCATCCGTACTTTCGTTTGTTGAAAGCGATATAAAATTGTTCGGGGGCCACCACACTTGATTATTAACGACCCATTTCGAGGGAACAATCGTTAATATCGGCTTACTTTTTTTAGTTTTTCTTGTTTGAACAACTTACGAACGCCGAACTGAGCTCTGATGATCAAAATTATTTTAATTTCGAAGAACTCGCTTGTTTTCGTCAACAAGTTATTATGAAGTATTCAAGATGTTTCTAATACCAAATTTTAACTTTTAGAAAAACAAGTTGTAGTTTATGTTACAATAACGTTATAAAAATGTACGTAATACTTTACAAATACTTCTTTTAAAACTAACTACATGGAAATACTACCACATAATTTGTTGAAGGCGTTCCAATCGAATTACAGTGCTGGCTGAAAAAAAATGATATCTGGATACCAGGTGACTGATTTACCTAAAATAAATGGTTTCTCAATGGGATAGTTCATAAATATGATCGTGTAAACTGGTCTTAAATTTGGGATGATCTTTTCATTTCATACCAATATAGCGTGATATCTAGACCAACAATTGAAATGGCCTTAACTCCATTTTGTAAACAAACCTTGTAAGGCCATTTTCTCCCGAACCGAAACCTTCATTCGCAAACCTAACCCACAATCGGGTAGAGGAGAATTACTCCTACCTGTTAATTATGTTGGTTTGCCTTTGCGGACTTCGTTTCGCGAGAAAATGGCCTTACAAGGTTTGTTTACAAAATGGAGTTAAGGCCATTTCAATTGTTGGTCTTGATATAATCTTCATATCAAGATACGTTTTACTAAAGAGGGTCTAGTATAAGAGAGGAGCGCACTTCCGATTTTGAGTCAAACTCGATCCAATCGAGCAGCGCCTATCTTGATTGCATTGGCAGTGTTGCTAGAAATCACCTAGGCATAGGGTGCCATGGCAGTTTTGAATTCGCCCAAGTATTTACGTAAGTTTTTACCAAACCAGCAAATTGTGACTGTATGGAACTCGAAATCTCAACAGCTGAACGTTCTGTAAACAGTTCGGTGATTTTTTACGGATTTCATGTAATTTTTCACAGATATTCGGTGAATTATTACAGAAAATCTGGGAAAAATTACCAAACTGTTTACCGAACGTTCAGCTGTTGAGATTTCGGTAAAATTTCACAGATTTCGGTGAAATAATCTTAGTGTGCACTTGTTGCGTTAAAACCCGCAGATGAAAAGTTATCGATTAACCCTGACATCAGAGTGGGATTATATCTGACAGCTTCTTAGCTTTTCAAACAAAATTTCATACCTGATACCGTGCAATGATTCAAAATTATCCGAAAATATTCAATAGAGTTTGAGGTTTTGAATTTCAGAGCACAAGCAAATTAAAGAAATTGGAACGTGTTGCCAAAACCAGACCCTTTATGAACTGAGAATGTTTCGTGTTGTTGTTTTAAATTCTTTTCTTGAATGTTTTATTAGTTGTCATGCAAACAAGATCTTCAACTCGGTCTTCAAGTAACGATGTTGCTTCAGTGTTAGAAAATCCCAAAAGTAGCTGTCAGCAGTGCTGAGATTTGTCATTGTCATTGACAGACTTTCGCGCGATATTGACAAAATTGTTCGTCACATAGTCACTGACAGACTTGATCCTCAAAAAAACCTTCGTCAAAATCTCATTCATTTTTTCGTCAATGACAAAGATTCACCTGGTAGCAAAAAGTGTAAGTTAGTACATTCTGTGTCACATTATTGTTATCCAAGTAGCTCAGGACGTAGATACTGGTTCACTGAAATGGATCCATGTAATTGTTTTGCTCAAGTCATTTAATTTCGTTACAAATTTAGCTAATAAACAAATCTGCACATGTTCGTCACTGACACCATTGTCATTGACAATTGACATGGTTTGCCTTGACTATGACTGTTAGCTCAAATGAGTGACCAAAACAGAATTGTCAATATCACCGTGTACTGTCGATATTTTGCAGCACTGGCTGTCAGTAACGATTATCAATTCCAGTTGTCAAATCTGACGCCAAATGCTAACTTTTCTCTAAACTGACAGCATCAAAAGTGTC